ATTGAACTGATTTGCAAGTGGACAGAAATCCACTTTTCATTTCTGAAATACAGGCACGTGCCTGCAGTGGCTCAGGCCAGAAGCCCGGGGGTGCTAGAGCAGCCCTGCTTTCCACAGGGAAGCTGAGTTGGTGGGGTTGGAGGGGATGGGGCATGGCCAGGCCCTGGCAAGCCTGAGTATGACCAAGGAGGGGGTTAAATACTTACCTTGGCCTGCAGTGTTTGGAGGGTGGTGTAAGAGGGAGCATGGCTAAACAGGGCATAGCCAGACCCTGCCATTGATGGGGAAGAGGAGGAAGGGAAGAGCCCTGCCCGCTTCAGTGGCTCCTTGCCAGCCGGCACAATCTGGGCACACAGCTCCGCTGCCCAGGCTCTGAGGGGGACTCTTCCCCCTCCTCCTTCCCCACCTTCCCTCCCCTCGCCACCATGGGGCAGGGCAGGGGCTCTGTGTAGTGCTGGAGGGCAACTCTTCCCCTTTCTCCTCCCCCACTGTCACCTTGGGGCTGGGGTGGGGTGGGGGCTCTGTGTGGCACTGCCTAGCCTGGCCCAGCCTGGGCATGGGGAGCAGCTGTCACTGAGCCACAGCTGCTGGAAAGAGCCTTGCCCCCAGAGCCTGGGGCAGCCCCACTGAGTCCCAGCTGAGGCAGCTGCACGGTGGGGCCGGCTGTGGCTGAGTGACAGGGAAGCTGAAACCTGTCAGTGAAAGTAGCCTGGCCATGGGCAGCAGCTGGCTGGGCAGTGGGCTACCCGGGCCAACTTGGAGGTGCCGCAGGGGCTCGTGTGTCCGTAGTGAGCCCCCCATGGCAGGCAGCTGCCAGAGTCCCCCTCCAGCACTGCACACAGCTCCTTCCTCCACCCCATGGCAGCGGAATTTTTCCCAATTCTCTAAACATACATTTTTGTTAAACTATAACTTTCCTTTTAAGTGTCCTCAAGTTTATTGAAATCCCCTAAAATATTTTTCTACTGTTTTTATCCAGGTCAGAAATCTCGCAAATATTTTTCAAAGCAGACAAAGCAAATGGCTTCAGTGGACCAGAGCATGAAATCAAACTGATTATAATAATTTTATTCACTTTGATGGTGATACTTCCAATTTTCTCAAAAACCAAACCAAACCAAACAAGCAAAAAGAACAGCAGAATTAGGTCAGGCCTTTGGCTTTCTATCCAGATTTGTACCCAGATCACAGAAATTCTAACCAATTCAAATGCTTATTTTTTCCCCTATAAAAGTATTACAATGTTCCTTTTTATACTGTCACTCTATTCAGACTCACATACACCCTCATAAGGAACTCCCCTATGCTGCAGAACTCTTGAATGTCATCATTATGAAATCCATTATAAAACTAGCTTCCACAGTTTTATATCAATAGCTGTCTTAACATTTTGGCTGAGTCTAAACCAGAAACTTAACCCACTTAATCAAAACTTAAGGTTCATGCAATCCTATGAAAACTAACATTGCTCAGAATATCTTTCCCCCCATTTCTTCTCTAAATATGATGGGAGCTCCAAGCAATCAACTGTCAGACTGATATGCCAACATCATGCTTTTGTGACTATACAAAAAATTGAGAGAGTTAGGATTTGAAAGTGTCAGCAGCAACCACAAAATACATAGCAACAAATGATCAACATTTTTATTTCTATCTGAAAGAAAAACTGTTGTTTCTCTAATACTATTGGTGAAAAACCTGATACTGAAATCAATGAATAAATCTCCTTTAATCTCAATTAAAAATTAAATTCTCAGGATTAGCATATAGGTAAGTATGGAAAAGGGGAAAAACCCCTGACAAAAGTTTCAAGAGTGGCTTCTCCTCTTTAAACTTTACAAATCACAAAATTAGATATAATGAAATACTGAAAAAAGAAATCAAAGACTGTTACCAGGGCAGAGTAACATATATACACACAATAGAAATTAAGGATAAAGAACGGCAGCACCATGATACTGATTTTGATTTTTTTTATGCCCAAAGAGAGCTTTAAAAAGTTTCTTTCTATGCCAAATGAGTTCAGCACATTTTCCTGATTATTCCAGGGGTAATTTGCTTTGACTTTTAACATTAACTTTTTCTTATTGTCAAAAATGTTGACCTTTAATACAGAATGTCATCATCTTTCTATAAAAAACCCTAAGTATCTGACTTAATAAAGTGTATTGGAACTATGTAAAAAAACAGGTTTTTACAAGCCAACTGGCAAACTCTCAAACCACATATAAATTCTAAACTACTAAGTTATATGTATGATATACAAACTGACACACCAGCAAAAAAAATCCAGGGAAGTGAAAGAACTGAAGTTGCTATTATTGCCATGAAACTAGTGAGAGTATTTAGTTGGAATATTCATTCAAGAAGAGTCCACACTCTTAAGGGAGAGTTCTTTCTATCTAAATCGAGATCAACAGATCTTTAGTAGGACTTGAGGATAAAGGACAGTTTATTTAACCTTTGTAATTACAAATGAATATGCACATCTCATTCCTTATTCTATTTTTATTTTAAAATATGTAAATAACAATTATTTGTATGTTTTGAAAAACCTCTCTTCTGAGGCAAACATTTTCTATAGTCGAGAGAGAGAGAAAGACTCACATTTACTTTTTAAAAAATATGTAAAACTGTGCATCTTGCCACTGCATTAAGTAGGCTTCTTGGGAATGAATGCTGACAATGCTAAGAATATGATGGTTCATTAACAAACAATTTTTCATAATCATTTTTAAAGTACAAAGAAAATTCAATTGTTGTCATTATGTGAATGTTTTAAAAATACTGGAAGCCAGATTAACAACATTTGACTAGTATTTTCTTACTATTTTCTGCTATTTACTTGCCAGGCCAATTATGAATTAGGTCATAAAATAAAAATATTTTTTAAAAAATGAAAAAATAAAATATTTATAAGTTATCACTTCAGCAATATAGTTTCAAATATAATTATCTTAAGCTCTTTAAAATTAATTAGGGATTACTACAACACATTGTGGGGGCTAAAGGAGAGTAAAGACCTGTAAACTCAGTACATAGCAATGATTTAAGTAAAGATTTTATTGGTCAGAGCTAGCACAAGCTCGTACAAGTGTACGGGAAACTGCCTGGCTGGTGTCTTGTGTTTACTTCTGGGGCTTATTTAAAATTACAGTATACCAGAATCAGCATAGATTCTTTTCACACTGCCTAATCCACGTACAGGCCAAAACAAAGCAGTATTCAGCATGCACCATAACAGCAAATATATCAAAGCCCTGATAAGGTCTGAAGAATTCAGATTTTCATGGGCCTATAAAAATAGTCCTAGTCCTTATAGTTGCAAAGACATATTAAAGAGTAAATGGAGATATTTTGTCTTAGTAAAGCCACATAAGCAATGCCTTACTCGTCTAGGAATGTCAGTGTACTAAGCTGGCAAAGTGCCCTCTGCTTTTTACCAGTAAATTCACCCCCAAGAGTGAACCGAACGAACAATGGAAGTGCAGATTTGCCTGTATAACTTGATCTATCCAAGGAATTTCTGAAGCACAGCTATGCTGGACAGTGATCACACCTAGTAGAGCCATTCCTTGAGTTCTTCTTACTTGAGAGGTCATCAGTCATCTCAGTAAAACTACCAACCTACTGTGCAACTAATTGGGGCCAGCTCTGGATTCAGTAGTGCACACAGTACTGTCGTAACATTACATCTTGATTTCAAGAGTCTCCCACAGAAAAGGGGTGATTCCATAATTAACACATACAGGATGATCCTTACAGAGTTTATCTTTATCTGCTGCACTCATGCAAATACTACCCACGTATTCTGGATTCAGAACAGCTTTTTGAAGCCCCTAAAGTCACTTGCATTCACTACACTGCTATGTGCAGCTTGCGAGAGACCAACCAATGCTCATTTTGTCTGACCATTAAGAAAGTTGAGGGACAGAAGAACTGGCCAACATATTATCATTTGTATTTACAGCTGTGATGTGGTAGAAAGGACAGGCTCTTTGAAATGTAGATGCAGGGCTGGCATTCTAAGTAAGTGCAAGGAAATTAGAGTCTATACATCAGTCCTTTTTATTGTTTTATATTTAATATAAAATAAATAAAAGATGTCAATTCAAAAATTGTTTTAGTATAGACAAACATTCAACTACTAATACAAAGAGACTTTCCATTCTATTTTTTCTATAAGGTATTTATTTTTATTTAAATAGATTTTATTTGCCTCAATAAAAAACTTCAGACTATTTCTATCATTATATGCAACTTTTCTGCTAAAACTGCTCTGTGCAATTATTTATTGGGGGTGGGGAAGGGAGAGGGGGCATTGTTTTGTTATAAGAGTAAATTTTCTCCCCCCCTCTCTCTCTCCCCTCCCCAGCTTGCAAGGGCCTCAAACTCCTCTGCTTCTTGGTCCAGGCATGTGTCACATTTGAGTTTGGACACTTCGTCTTGGAACAAAATGTGGATCAGTTTGTATCATGCTCAGCCACTGAGGAAACACTGCAAGGTGGAAAACAGAGAGCTAGTCTTAAATGTGTAACTCCATACAGCTCAATGCAGGGAGAACAGTCTAATCTCTGCTGATACGAGTGTTTAATATTACTGAGAAGTATTTTATGGTTGGCCACACACATTTGCACATTCATCTTTTGTTTTTATTATTTTTATAATAAAGTTTTTAAAAGTCAGAAGTTTCCCTCTCTCTCTCCCAAACATACACACCACAAACCATTCAAGATCTGACAAAGCCTAAAGAGATGGACTACAGAAAGGCAAAAACAGAAAAACAAACGAGTGTGTGATTCTGTATCTATTGTTCCCTGAACTTTTATATCTTCAGCCACCCCAAGGGAATGAACTTTCAGCTTTTTGCTGAAAGGTTAATTGCTGCCTCTTCATTCCTTAGTGTTGTTTCATTTATACTGGCCATGAATCTATTAAAACTTGAAAAAAGGCCAAAGCTCTGTATGTATTAAATGGATTCATGACTGGAAATATCATACCTTGATTTTAAATTCCAGCTGTGAGTTAATTGTGTACATCATTTCTGTCCTCTCCATTTTCCGAGCACCTTCATTACATAAACGGACCAACTAGAACAAAAATTAAGAAAAATAGTGTTACAATGCATATATATTCAGACGTTGTAATACTGGCATTTCCTTTACAGTATTACTTTGAGGAAGCAAGAAATTCATAAAGGAGCTGATATTTTTTGTGTCATGCTTTAAGCCATAGAAATAATTGGATGATACAATGTAGTACAGGTGGCACAAAGTCTGTCGCTTACATAATCTGTAGCTAGTCAGTCCAAGCAGGGGCTCCATGGGAGGGTGCCCCTCTCATTTTGACACACAAATGTGTTCTGTAGTTGTGACTCAATGATATATGCTGTAGGGCTGTGTGAAACACCATTGTTTCATTTCAATGTCTGTTCCGCCTTTTCAAAGGTACAGTGTTTCATTTTGTTGTTTCGTTTCATTTTGAAGCACTGTCCCGTTCCGTTTTGTTGAAACTGTTTTACTGTTTCGACTCATTTCAACGTTTCGCTCATAGGCTATAATGGGTAATCATGAAAATGCCTAAAATGTTGTGATTTGTTGCCTGATTTGGATGCAAATTGCAGCAATGGTAGCCTCTTTTGAGGGCATGAAGCCTGCCATGTTTCAAGGAGATAGGTGCAGAGGTTTCTCAGAAACTGCACCACAAATCTTGAAAGCAAAATTTGTCAGCAGCAGCAGCTTCCTATCATCCGACACGCACATCCGGGGGCTTGCACCCCTGGGAGGGCTGAGGGGATGTGCTGGACTCCTCCCAGGGGTGTAGGACCCTGGATCTGTGTCAGATGACAGGAGGCTGCCACTTCCACCTGGGACCGGCGCTGGGTGCAGCCCGCACCCAGTGCTGGGGAAGAGAGATGCCGCCGCTGGCCCCAGGCAGCAGCAGCAGCCTCCTGTCATCTAGGCACAGATAGTGGGGGCTGCAGGGCTGTGCTGGACTCCTTCTGGGGGTCCAGGCCCCCAGATCTGCACCAGATGACAGGAGAATGCCAACTGGAGAGCAGCACTGGGTCTGCCCATGTCCACCCACCAAACTGAGCTCTGTGGAGCTGGCAGAGCCAATCGGAGGGCATCCTGGTGACAGGTGGGCAGAGCCGGCACTACCCTCTGATCAGCTCTCCATGGAGCGTAGCCTGGTGGCAGGAGGCAGGGAGAGCGAGGGCTGCATTCCCCACTGAGCTGAGCTACACGGAGCTGTGGAGCCTGGCTCTCCCCTGCTTCCCACCTCTGAGATGCTTTGAAACTTGAAATGTTTCAAAACTTTCAAAATGTTTCGAGTGCCCTCATTTTGTTTTGAAGCTATTTCAGTGCTTTTTGTTTCATTTAGGTTTCACTGTTTCGAGCTCAAAACATATTGAAACAGCTGCAAAACGAAACACTTGGTGACATTTCGCACAGCCCTAATATGCTGTCCTTACCATCACAGGTGTGCAGATTTTTTATGGAAGGAAGACACCAAGGTAAATATTATGGTGCTCTTTTGGAAAGATAAGGAAGTCAGAAACCTTTTTACCCACTGTTAGTGTGCTCACTGTAAGTGAGACTTTAGTTACATTCCTTTAAGAAATGTAAAATAGGGAAGAATTGAAATGGGAAAAAGAAAACACTGTTTAACTCTTTTCATGGGGTTCCCAAGACTCAATGAACGCTTCCTTGTTGCTAAGACTTTCCTCTAGGAAGTTAGAAACAGTGTACTTCATTGATTCCCCAAGTTTCCCAGATCCTTCCAGTGATGGAGCAATTTAATGAAAAGCATACCTAACATACTGATAGCTAACACTGGGTGCATGCATCTACATGTGAAATCAGTGAGACACAATAACCCCCAGTGCATATTGTGCTGGAGTTTATTGCTCCTGGGAGCTGAATTTAAACATGCACCCAGGACCGCAGCATATTGAGCTGGGTTGGAGCGCTCCCAACTGGCAGGGGACCAGGGGGGTCAGCCTGCCAGCCCATGGCTGCTCCAATCCAGCTCAATGCGCTGCAGAGGGGCTGGCTGGGGCATGAGAGTCCTCCAGCGCAGGGCTAGCTGGCAGGCAGCCCCCGCACTTAAGCACCCTTGTGCCCCAGCCAGCCCCCTCAGTGTCTACATGTGTGCTGCTGTGTGGTAAATAACACTGCCGCAGGACAGTACTTGAATTTACAAGTACTGACCTATGGCAGCATTTATTAGTTTACTGCAACCTAATAGGGCAGCATGTGTAGATGCAGGGTCTTTACTGTGGTGTTAATTAGGCAGCTGCACAGTAAACATCTCTTGTAGATGTGCCCACTGTGACCCTTTCTAATGCTTGTCATCAACTTAGTATTGGATAGCTAACTGAAACCCCCCCCCCACAAATCAATTGAGTCTGGAGAGTCTTCTCCAAAAGGGTAATATGTAGCATCAAAAGCCTAAAAAGGACAAAAGAACCCTCCTACTCCAGTAAAAAAATAAAATCATATTTACAGTGCTGTAATTACTATTGAGGAAGGTTAGAAAGTCAGGCTGCTATATTTTTATCACATGTTATATAAGACAGAAGCCAAGCAGTTACTACCAGGCAATAAATTCATTACAACAGCTTAGTCATTTGGAGGAGCTAAGGGTATAGGGTTGGGGAAACAAAACTTGAAAATGTGTTCCACAGAAGAGTTTTTCAATGTATCAGAAATAAAATCATGCTCATTGAGGAGATTTCAGCAGTATCCAGACAGAAGGATATGAACAGTATCAATCAGGCCTCTGCCTCATGTCTTCCAGTTTGAATACAGTGTATGCCATATAACATTTCCACAGCAAAATACAACAGTGTTGGCAAGAGCATTGGGTTAATGTCTGAATTCAGGATTTTTTTCTTAAAAGATAGAGAAAACATGATTTAAATGTAAACCTAGCTCTCTCAGTAGTCACTGATAGATTTTCACGTTTGGAATTTTCATCTTTCATTACCATTCATCTTTAACAGAAAAAATAACATTTCCCATATTAAAATAATGTAAAGTGGACCAGAATCCACAGGGCCTAAGGCAATTACTAGCCCTAACAGGTGAAGAACCTTATTTCTAATAAGAGTATGCCAATTTATCCAATGTAACTATCATTTATTGAAAGTGCAGTTTTCCAAATTCTGATATGAGGCCCAGAAACTAATCCCTATCATTTGTGTCTCAAAGTACCTTGCTGTTCCAATAGCTATATTTCTCCAGTAGCAATGGAGTTTTCATGTGGAATTTGGAAGCTGCTACCAAAATAAGCTACTGAAATCTAGTCATACAGCGTTAACAGGAACATACTGGAGGTTATCATAAGATCAACTGTGGTCAATATTTACAATCTATGCATGGAATTTCTTTTGTTTTCAGTACTCAGTAAAGAAGTTCTTGCTCCAGAATGACAAGGGAATTTCAATGCATCTCTCTCAGACTGACACACAGGAATTATTTCATTTTATTTTTAAAAAGCAATCCTTTAATTTTCATGAAGATCCAGTTTCACGGTGGTTTCCCTGCTATAAGTATACTCTGTCATACCTTTTATCCCTTCTTTGGATAATGAACAATAAAAAAGCACAACCAAAGCAAGTAATAAAGGGAAAACTACATAGACATCAAGTAAGCCACTTATTGTTCAGAAAAGGAAAAGTGACTCCCTCCCATACTGGAATGATAAATTGATTATACAGCTGGGGAAAAGAAGAAGAAAACCAGGTGTGGGTATGAAGCAGGATTGAGTTTTTAAAAACTTACCTTGCTTACTTCTTTCAAAGCTCGTTTGCAGTCCTCATATTTTGGTGAGTCTTTGGGGGTTTTCTGACAAATAGTCTGAAAGAAAGAATGAGTCTTTTCAGGGATCTGAACACTTCAGACTGTTACATCTAAAACACAATTACAGAATGAAGATGCACCTGTGAGATTAACCCTGAAGGTGCTCAGTCCCACACCTGAATGCACCTTCTCATTTACCAGACCTCATCTGTGTGCTTAAGGGGACACCCACAGAGATGCCCTTCAGGGAGTGTGGCGTATCTTTCCCCTTGCGTGCTGGTCTCAATCTGTGGTCCCCTGCAGAGGAAAGAGATAAGCCATATCCTCCTAAGCATTTTGGAAGGCCACAGATCCTGCACTCCATTTTAATTATGCCTGTGGCCTATGCAGACCATGCAAAAAGGGGGATAAAGGAGATTCCTTTTGCCCTTTATCCCTTCCATGTAAAACATGGCATAATCTGGTTCTTAATGTTTCAATTTATTGCTGAACATCTGCTGAAAATTTTCTAACCCACTGGTTTTCAAACTGTGTTCTGAGGGACCCTGGGGTTCTAGATCATAAGAGGTTCCACAAAGAGAAGGGGTAATGGCAGAGTGGGCCAAGAAGAGCTGAACCACCCTTGCAAGATTAGGTTGCTCAGCTCCATGTCAGCTCTTTAAGACAGGGGAAGGGGTTCTGCAGCAGAATAAGTAATATGAAAGGTGATGGCTAGACAATGATATTAGAAATTCGCTTTTAGAAATTGGCTTGCATTAGGATGATGGTCCAGGGGTAATGGCAAGGGTTAACTGGTTTCTAAAGTCTGTAGTGAATATTCAGGTTCTCAGCACGTTAGAATCCAGGGATCCAAAGCTAGCAGACAGACAGGCACATACATCCAGGGAAACTGAGAACATGCAGCAGAAAAACAAGCACTTTGCTTCCTTAGAACCCATAATAAGATAGGAACATGTACAATTTGCATCAGGTCACAATGACCCACTGTAACTTGGTGAGATATCCTGACTAAATTAGGAGACCAGAAATTACCGAATTAAGGTACCAACAAATGATCAAATTCAGATATATGCATGTCATGTTTTTAAAGAAACAAGGGATGAGGCTGACAGGGCAAAATGTGGACAGCATTATGGCCACAGGAAAACCAAATAATGGTACCCAGAAATGAAGAATCATCAGGAGAAAAAGAAACAAAAGGAGGAAGTTTTGGGGCAATCATTTGGATGAGACATCGACTCCCAACCTACAAGGCTGCTGACATCCCGATTCAAGCAAGAACCACGAGGTGGCATTCACATCCCAGCCACACATACCATCTTGTGAAACCCTAGGGCTGGTAAATAAGTAGGAATGTGCTATTATTTTGCTTGCTTTGCTTGCAGTAATCTTACTCGCTATTACTGTGTATCAATAACATTCACCTATTATCAAATGGAAGGGGTCGTGATTGGTTTCATTCAGAAAAGTTGTGCTCACCTGGAACAAAGTATCAGGTCCAGTGCGAGCAAAAGGATTCTGTGACGTTATGAAGTTTGAAAACCACTGGTCTAACTGTATCAAATTAGTGTTTGCAATGGGCTGCTATACTTATGCCCTCTCTGGAAACTATCTACTGGGACCATACTACCAACTGCTCTCTGTGCTGTACTGTTATGAGGACTGACAGCAGTAAGAAAACACAGAAAATGTAGAAATGGTCTTAAAACAAAAATCTGAAGGAGAATCAATAGAACCATAGAGTCGAACAGTCCACAAAGTAGCAAAAGATGAATTTGATCAATGTATTAAACATGACAGTTTCACATACTGGAAAACTTTACTTTCACTAGTTGGAACAAACATCTGGCATTAAGTATTCCTAATGAAGAAGGGGCTAAATTACATTTTTTTTTTCTTGGAGTAATGCATTTATTGCAATACCTGTAATATGAACCCAGGAAAATTGTGGTTTTGGTCTGAATGTAATAAGGGAATCATCTTTCCTATATTACAGCTAGAGTGAAATGAAAAATTACTGTAAAGAAAAAAATTAACATAAAGTATAGAAATCCATCTCCCAAGGCATGGACAACAACTGTTATATTCTAATTGTTATGTATGGACAGGTTGGGTGCAATGCAAATGTAGCAAAGGCCTCCATGTTTAACCCCTTTTGAAATGCCTCCAAAACTGTGTCAATACCCCAGAAAAAAAGTCTTCATATTTTTCATATTATTTTTCTTAAATTATCTGGAACAACAGAAATGGAATGTCTTAAATTTAGAGAGAAAGGGAAAAATACTGGGTGGGTGATGGATTCTTTTATTTAAACACAGGGTTTTATGGCACAATAGAGCATGATTAGACACCTGGAATAAATAAACTTTCTACTCCTATCACCTGAAGGACCACTTCAAGCAGTCACTGTAAAATATTGAATATATACTCAGGGTTATTACAGAATTCCTAACTGAATCTTAATCTTGCCTTCGTATGTTCTGATCTGGATCCTATAAAAGGTAGAATTCAAGTAGTGACTTTAATTCACACCAATGGCAATGGTCCAGATCATAATTGATTTCTGGCATCCATACAGAAATGCTAAAAACCTCATGAGTACAGATGTTTTCCTCGAATTTCCATCTCTACTTCCTGACTCTTCCAATCAATATTATGACCTTCTGGGAGGTGGCATCCACAGGTTACTATATTGATTTCTGGCTAAATATGCCAATGATATTACTCTGTAGCAGCTGCCCCATTGAGTGTACAGGACCTATTACTAGATGTCTTAGCTAAAAGCAGATTGTGATCTTCCTGCCCCTTAATTAACAGGTTCACTGAGAACATTCCTGTGAGTAACAGCTTATCAATGTAAGTGGATGGGGCTGAGGCCTAGAAATGGAACCATCCCTGAACCCCCAAAGTAGCTAGTCTGTGTTTTTTGAACTGAGGGACTATAGCTCTAGTTGTAGTTTTGTATATGTGTTTTCTCTGGTACCTGCAACCAGATTTAACCACAATTTTATACCACAAATTTTACAATTGCCATTTTGTTGGTGACAGACCAGTTTATCCAGCTAGTGGCCCAGTCTAAAAGAGCTACACTTAAGAGGTAGAAATGGTCCAGTAATGAAAAAGTAGAGATTGTTGAATTTCGAAGTATACAAAATATGAGAGGAAAAAAGTAACTCTGTTCTCACATCCATCAGTAATGGAAGGCGTGTAACCCGCTGCATTGGGAGAATGAGGAAAGAGATCATCGGTAAATTCCTGCAGTCTTCATGGGATTCGATCCGTGACAGCACTTCTTTGAATGTTGGATTTGTAGCTCTGTAGAAAAACAAGGGGGGTTTTTGTTTGTTTTTTTTAAAGATGAGTATTTTAACAAAAATGTGTTTTCTTTTCTTTTCAAATAAACAGTGATGTCATTAACCTGAGGAATGGTGGCTTGTGAGGAATCGTATTCTTTTAGTATTCAAAACAGTTTATTTAGAAATATGATACAGAACATCTTATTTAGAAACATGAATGCTATACACATAACACAATGTATGACAAAAATAAATTGGGAAAACTTATCAATGGGAACAGAGTTCTACACATGATCACAATAAGATTGTACTGTACAGCCAGACATATTTTTTACCCTTAATTTCTTATGTCGAATTTGAACATGTGCTTTTAGATAAGCACATGCTTACATTCTTTGCTGCACTCGTTCCTATATGGGCTGCTGACTCCTATTATTAAGGGGGTGATTTTACATCCTGACATTCAAAGCATAATTTCTTACAATAGTTTCTGGAGTGTTCGCTGCTGGTAGACCTCATTAGTGCAATATTTCACATATGGGTCAAAGGTTGATGTTGTATGCTTTTCAACAATGTCACTGATGTCATCTATGAAGATGTTGTTCTGATGCCTCATTTCAAGTTCTTTAAAGAACCTGAAAAAGAAAAAGAAATGATTTGGCAGATGATAATTTTGGCAAACATAGTCTCAAAGATGGGTGCAGTGGCAGAGTGGGTAAGGTGTATCTCTATGGCTTCTGACATGTGGGATCAAGCTCTGATCTGGACTTGTACCAAAGGTCCCTCTCAGTTGCCCCAGTGACAGATGGTATCTGGTTATTCAAGATGGGAGTCAAAGGTGGCCAGATATGATGTTAACTACATCAGTCTCATGAATGCTACAGGTTCCAGAAACTGATGTGCCTTCAGCACACTAGCTCAGTAGGCCTCTAGGCTTAGGGTTACCTTTGACTAGACTTGGTTTCACAATGGCCATGCAAAAGTTTTGCTTGATATGACATGAGATGATATAACAAAGTTATTCACCAAAAACTCCAAGAAACCAGGGACAAAGCTGAGAAGTTTGAGAATTCTGAGGTAGAAACGGGTTAATGGATGTAAACTCATTATCCTTTTGATTCGATTACTTATGTACCTCTTGCACATTAAAGTGTAAGAAATGGCAATGTAGCTGGATGGGCTCTAAAAAAATTGATAATGGTCAAATTACTGTTTTACAAATTAACAACCATTTAGAAAGAACAGGACTAACACCAATTGAAACTATAGCGTGGGCAAAGACACTACACTTAATAAGCTTTAAGCATGCAGAAAACTTTACAGCCCTAACAGAACAGACAGTCATGACATATAAAGCATTTTTAAAATGCCAGATCCCGCTCTAAGTTAACCCTGGATGGATGTGTACTAACCTAAACACGTACTGCTAGAATGCTTTATCGAACATCTGGCGAGACCACGTCAAGGGTTAACTTAGAGTGCAATCGCTGCCATCCCAGGCAGTGACAGCATCCAATCCCAGCCCCTCCAGCAGCCTGGCAGGGGGATGGGGAAAGGGGAGTTTCTGTCCCTGCCGGTGCCCCAGTTGTGGGGGCTACTGTGGGGGAAGGGCTGCAGCATCTCCCCCCTCACAGCACCCTGGCCAGGGCTATTGTTGGGGAAGGGCTCTGGGGTCTCTCCACCGCAGCAGCCCTGGCCAGGCAGTGATACATTAGGACATAGACCCCAGAGCCCTTCCCTGCAGCAGCCCTGACCAGGCCATGCCACTCTGCAGCTTCTATCTGCAGCTGTCAAGAGGTCGGGCGGAGGGAAGGGAGCCCCTCCATGCAGACTCAGCCAACACCCTCCAGGCCCCAGCCAGTTGAGGCAGCCTTCATGATGGGGGTGCTTCTTTTCTCCCCCACTTCCCCTGAGCCACTACTGACAGTCACCAGCTGGAGGGAAGAGGGGGGCAGGGCTGGAGTGAGGGGCTGCTCTGGCAACCTGCTGGGAGGCATATGAGAGTGCCCCCAGCAGCCAGTGTGGCTAGGCTATGAGCCCCTCACCAAATAGTAAATGTCTCTTCAGTTGGCTCCTGCTCTGACTTACCATACTTTGAGTAAAATATGGTAAGTAAGAGTGCTTCCACTAGGGGCTTTTGGAACATCTGTACTTAGCCATATTTTCACTGACGTGGTTTAAAAAGAAACTAAAACAACTTGAACATGAGGAAAGAATCTTTTCCCCTTGTCATAAAGAAAGTCAAATAGCATAGCTACAATGGAAATTGGAAAACCTCTCACAGGCTTAAAGGTGAACTGCAAAACTCATATTAAAATTAAAGTAAACTGTACACTGATATGCTGAGTGACTCAGAGAACAAGGCATTTTCACCACTCCTAAACAGTCCACAGGGCATTTTACCATTAAATCAACATTATAAGCAAGACATTTAAGACAAGAAGAAAAAAGCAAGCCTGATCTTTCAGTAAAATTGTGTACTCTGGACGTTTTATGTAATAGTTTGGGATATCCACAATTATCAAGGCATTATTTTTAAGCAATCCTAACTCACAAAAGTGAAATTGACATCAAAATATTGATAAGATTTCATTTAAAGTTTCATTAGCTGATCAATGATCTGGTCAAAACAGATGAGGAAGTGGAAATGGGGCCAATCTTTAAAATGTATTACTCTATTCAATGGCAAAGCTTTTGAAGGATAATGTATTTGGCATTTTCACTCACACAGTTAGTTCTTACCTGGTGGTAGAGCTACAATAACTACAGCGGTTACAATGACACTTCTCCAGTTCTAAGAAGCATGGCATCTCTGCAATTCCTCTAATGTCACTCCTGCTGTTTTTGATGCATGAGATGCCACAGGCTGCCATTGATTTATTTACATTAAATACTGTTCAGATGATTTGGCAAAGTGTATCGACTGGAAAAGAACACCAAGCTGAAAACAAATGTCATACTTGATATATATATTTTGCAGTTGTTGTTCTTTTCCAACACACACACACACACACACACACACACACACACACACACACACACACACACACACACATTATATTACACACACACATTCACACTGAAGTATTAAAGTTGGTCTTAAAGTATTAAAGATGGTTGGTCTCAATTTTCTCTGGGGCTCTTAAGATTTCTATTAACCAGACAGGAGAACAGTTTGCAAGCTACGTTGTCTATTAATATTCTTATGATGAATTATAATATTCAGGTTTAAAATACTGACCAGCACAACTTGTAGGCAGTGACTGGAAACCATTTCTACTCTGCTCAGCTCAGGCAAGTTTCATAGCTCTAAGAAATTCTTAGCACATTGCTGATTAATGTTGGTTTGCTGAAAAGGTATTTGACCATGTGGGCTAGAAAATCCACTTTTAAAATTTATCAGGTGCTTTGTCAGGTGTTATGTTGGTCATCAAATAGTGTAGCTCCTTCAGGGAACAGTAAAAGATACAGGTTAGGAGTGTTTTAGGAACAGAGGAAGAAATCATGCTGAAAGACTCCCTACCTTTAGGGCTAGTAGATACTTTTACATCCAGCATTATGAATATCATAAATTGAGATCTGGACCAGGGGGTTTCCTAGTGTGCTTCCAGTTTACTTTTATTATAATGAAACCAGCGATTTCACAAAATCAGTTTACTAATTTTTTTACAGGTCGTGCTAGGTTTAAAGATTAGTTCTGATATGTCAAAAGTGTTTATCCCCATAAACTAGACCCAAGCTGGATCTGGCCTTTTGTTCAATATCAGAAGGATTTATTAAAGTGTTTTTAATGTCTTTGACTTTGACTTTTCTGACTAAACTCGGATCCCGATTAAAAGTTAAACAAGACCACAAGAGGGTTTAATTCTTTCCTCCTATCATTGCTTCTTAAAATACATCTCCAATTTGTTAATAGTCTAATGGAAGGCCAGATTGCTATTTTCCTACAGGCCATACACAACCAATTTAGAAGATGTAATTTTAATTTTTTTTCTTTTCTTTTCAATCCAGGGAAGACCAGATTAAGCTTCAATCAGTTATACCTCTCCATTGACAAAAACGGTCTCTCTCCATCTGTTTGTAATTGTGGCTCTTGTTGAGGGCATTCAGTTGCTAAGGGCTTTCATCACTAACCTTCAGTTAAACATTAATCAAGAACAGTGCTTTGATATTTACTCTGCCAGTCTGCTAATCTGGACAGCTTTAACCACTGATTGTCCAAAATGCCTTAAGACATGTAAGTTAATTTATATAATTTATATGAACATGTCATATTTTGTGGCTTAATTATGCTTCATGTGCACAGGCAAAGCATTCATCAGCTTCAGAAGAAGTTTAGTGTAAGTTAAAAAGGCTCAAGGTAACAGCTACAAATTCCTCAGGACAAACCAACCCATTAAATCTAAGAGGACCAGTCTTCTCAAATTCACTGCAAAAAGTTACTGTTTAAGACTTAAGATACTGGACAAATGGATACACATTTACATGCATACTTGGGCCTTCTAATGAAGATATTGTAGGCCTCGGCTTATGTCACACGGGAACATAATTCCCATTTCTCTGACAGTGATAAGATATACTTCTATTTCTTCAGGTGCATTGGATTATAGGGATCTCTAGAGGTAGAATTGCTGTATTCAATACATGCTTGCTTTAGAGAAAGGACTTTTTGCCCATCCCCACTCCGCAGTTTGACAGTAGCTGCCTCCTCCCCCTGGCCTGGCTGGTGCCTGGCCATGCCCCCTCCACTCCAGCAGGGAGGAGACAGCCTTGGAGGGTGTCTCTCTTCCCTCCCCTTTGGTAGTGGCTGGCACGCATGCTCTAGTACCCCTGGCTTCTGGCACTGCAGGCATGTGGCTGCATTACCTGATTTAACAGAAAATGTCTGTTCAGCTATTAATCAGTTTAAGCTGCACAGCTTAGACTAACCTGCAAAGACTGAATCAATTCAGGCTCAGGCTTTTTGAATGTCTGTCCCTGGCCCATATGACAGGACTGCTCAAAACCTTTCAATGATCTTTTCTATTCTCATATCATTTTGGGTCCTCTAACTCTTCATTCTATGAGCTAGGAGAAACAGATTTACTTGCATGGAGAGACTTGGGGACCTTTTTAGTACCTCAACCTTTCTTTATCAGTTTTCCACCAAATACAAATCATTCTTTGCTTCTAGCTCCCCCCTTGCCATCAAAGAAAAATTCAAACTTTTACTTAAAATGATTCCCCCTCCCCAATATTTCCACCTCAGGTTCTTAATGTTGGACTTTTATTGCTTTGCACCAGGGACATGGGTTGGAATCCTGTTTTAACATGCTAATTCTCTCCACATACAGTTTAAGAATATGGCAGGGAGTGTTCCCTCCCCTCCCCTCCCCCCACTTCTGCACAAATTTCTGGCAACACTTGATCCTAGACAGTGGAGCTATGCTGGTTTAGACTGACATTTAAGTATATGGTTCCAAACTCACATGTCAATTTTTATTAGGACAGAAGGGATATTAGAAATTTACTTTTTATTTACAGCACATAACCACAAGTCTCCCATAGTTCCTAGAGTTACTCTAGAGTTAAAACAGCATAAGGATCAAAATCTATCACCATACCATGTAATGAAGCATTCAACATATTCAAATTT